TAACCAAGCCTAGGAACAGTTTCTGTGTTGCTATATTTCAGACCACCAGAACAACTGGTCTGATCTACTATCCTGGGTGGAGTTCGCCCACAATAGTGCTATTAATTATTCCTCTTCCCAGCTATCCTCGTTCTTGGCGAACTATGGGTTTCAACCATCCATGTTGCCTGATACGTTAATGCCACAAGGGATACTGGCATTGGTGAAACATCTCAGGTAACTCCATTCCACTTGGGTGCAGGTTCAGAACTCTTTGCGATGCGCAATTCAGAACTACAAACTCCAGGCTGACTGCAGGCGCCCACCTGCGCCTACCTATCAGGTCGGAGAGAGGGTCTGGCTGTCTTCCCACAACCTTCGGCTCCATGTTCCCTCACAAAAACTGGCACCCCACTTCGTTGGGCCGTTTTGTATACTTTGATGGGTTAACCCTGTAGCCTATGCACAAAAGCATGTGCATCTCTAACGTATTTCCCAGCATGTGCATCTCTAACGTATTTCATATTTACCTCTTGAAACCATTGGTGTGTAATCGCTACACCACCTCGGTGCCATGTCCGTGTCCTGTTCTGGTTGATGACCATGAAGAATATGAAATACGCAACATCATTGATTCACGACTGTTCAGAGTACAGATCCAATACTTGGTGGACTGGAGAGGGTACGGTCCAGAGGAACGCTCCTGGGTTCCAGCCTCTGATGTCCATGCCCCATCCCTCCTTTGTTCCTTTCATGCCCGCTTTCCCATGAAACCTGGATCCACCCATGGCGGAGGTCGTTGAGGGGGAGGTACTGTCAGGGTTTCTCTGCTGTTTTAAACAGCAACCCTTCCTCTTTCTGTGTTTGAGCTATTCAGCTGCTTGTTAACGATCAGCTCCTTCATTACTGTTTCCACGGTTACTCACTTGGTTGTTAGTAGCCAGCCCTGTTACTTCTCCATGCAGCCTATTTAAGCAGCAAAATCCAGTACCTCCTTGCCCTTGCGTGGTTTCCGGTTTCCCAGAAGACTTCCTGTTTCCTGTGTATTCCTGGTTCCTGACCTCTGGCCTTGTCCCTGACTCCGCTGCTCTCCATTCTCCTGATTCCGGCTCATCTGACTACCCACTTTGGTGCCTGACCCCTGCTTGCCTCCTGGACTTTGCTTTTGGTTTATTTCATTTGTTGCTATTTATTTAATAAAGGTGTTTAGAATTTAGAATGTTCTGTCTCTGGTTCCTGGTTCATTACAGGATGCAAGTTACAGAGAGGAATATATGAATTCAAACAAGCTGCAAGTATGTGGAATAAGAAACTGAAATGCTGAACTTAATTTAGAGTAAGGCAGACCCATGTCTATTTACCAGACAAAGAATTTGAATATTAACTTACCTACTTGTTTATATAGACAGCACAACAGGGCAGATGCAAGGAATTCTGCCGCCCTAGGCAAAAATCCGTTTTGCCGCCCTCTCATGAGATCGTTCCATTGTGTCACAAGTTTATTCACTAAACTCCACAAGGAAACATTCCATTGACTACTTTTAACAATTTAGTAGATATACCCCAAACAAAATATGTTATTTTTTTTCCTGCAAATCCTCTAATCAGCAGCTTCTCATTGAGAAAGAAACATAAAATCAGATGGATAGGGGAATAGCAACAACAATGTGCAGGCAAGCCTCTGCTCAAAAGTCGCTCCCAACTTCAGATCAATAAAAACGAGAAACAAGTTAGAAGGGGAGATTTTTTAGAATATCGCCAGAAAGGCAATTTTCACCGGAGCCCGAGGGCTTGGCCCCTAAAGAACCGATTTTCACCCCTTTTAGAATCTCAGACTCCAGCCAAGAAAAGAAAACTCCTAGGAGCAATAGGAGGAATAGAGGAGGGAGAGGAGGGAGAACTATCAGACTACATGAAACTGAAAATATTGATGGGATTTTTAATCTGTCTAATTTAGACTTAAGTACGGAACAATTGAATGTCCTAAATAAAGGCCTAAAATTTGCTCCCCAAACAGATCCCAATAATTTTGAACTGTTTATAGATACCCAAACATTTTTCAGAAAATTAACGATCAAGAGGTTCTTTGAAAAAAAGAAGTAGACCATGGTTACCTTAGATCCACCTAGAGAAGTTATGGAGACCGCCAATGACGAGACTAACAATCCAGTGATCATACATTCAGGTTTAAAAAATAAGTCGAAATTCTTTCCGACTTGGGAAAAGGGTGATCATATTCCAGTTTTTATGGAAATTATCATGACGGAGTTCAAAAAAATTTCAAAAAATAAAGGTAAGGAGAATCTCACAAAAAGAGAGAAAATTGCCCTTAAGCAAATCAAGGAAAATAAAGAAATTGTCATCAGACAGGCCGATAAAGGGGGAGGTATAGTGATTCTGAATCGAGAGGATTACATGAAAGAATCTATGAGAATACTGGGAGATGAGGGAACATACAAAGTACTGAGGAATAATCCCATGAAAGAATATGAAAAAGAACTACAAGGTATACTATTTGAGGGTCTAGAGAAAGGGGTGATTAACAAGGAATAATTTGATTATTTATCAATTAAATCCCCTAGAATGGCAGTATTTTATTACTTGCCTAAAATTCATAAATGTTTAGAAAACCCACCTGGTAGGCCGATTATTAGTGGGATTGGTTCTCTTACCAGTAACATTTCCCAATACATATATTTTTTTCTCCAAAAATATGTGACACAGGCTAAATCCTACAACAAGGACTCTACCCAAATTATAAGAGAAGTTGAGGGTTTGGAATGGAAGAACCAATATTTATGGGTGACTGTTGATGTAGCCTCCCTCTATACGATTATAGATCACGAGAAAGGCCTAAGAGCTATCCTAGAGGTCCTGGATAGTGATATCCAAATATCTAAAGAACAGACAGGTCGTATCTTGGCAATTATTCGGTTTATTTTATTCCATAATTTTTTCTGGTTTGAAGGTGCAATGGGCACCAGGTTCGCACCAAGTTATGCCAACATTTTTGTGGCAAACTGGGAGCTGAAGAATATCTGGGCTAATAACCCATTTGGTGCGAACCTGGTGCTTTGGAAGAGGTACATCGATGATGTTTTGATTATTTGGGAAGTGATAAATATGGTTTGGATCAATTTTCAGAATACATCAATTTGAACACATATGGTCTCAAATTCATGGTGGAGATGGGAGATACCTCGATTAATTTTTTAGACTTAACGTTGTTTGTAAAAGATGGGAGAGTTTGTAGTAAAACCTATTTTAAACCTACAGATAGTAATGGCTTTATTGAATTTTCTAGTTGTCACCACAAGAACTGGTTGAGAAATATCCCGAAGGGACAACACATGAGAATGTTAAAGAACTGTATGGAAAATGATGATTTTAAGAAGCAAACACAGGTTTTAAATAAGAGGTTTTTAGACAGGCATTACCCTAGGGATTTGTTGCGGAATACGCAAAAACAAATTGAAAGACTTAAAAGAGATGAGCTCCTGGTTAATAAGAAGAAGGTTAAAACCTCGGCTAATGGTTTTGATTTTGCATTTTTAACCAAACACAATAGTAAATCACACATGATGAGAAATCGATTAAGAAAAATTGGCCCATTTTATTGCAGGATACATTTAAAAAAAATATTCTGTCATATAATCCTAAAGTGATTTATAAGAAAACAAAAAATCTGAAAAACATTTTAGCTCAGAGTGTCTTACCTCAAAAAGATGATGTAATGAAGGGTTTTTAAATAATAAGAATTTTTTAACTTCAAAACCAAAAGGTTTTTTTTAAATGTGGAAAATGCAGTACCTGTAAACATCAAGCTAGTAAAACTATGCAATTTCAAAGCTTTGTCACAAAAGAAGTTTTCAACATAAAGCATTTTATCAACTGCCAAAGTAAATTCTTAGTATATCTTTTACAGTGTAAGTGAGGGATCCAGTATTTGGGACGCACCATCAGGAGACCGCACGTAAGGTTCTTAGAGCATTTTAATGGTATAAATAAGAAAAGTCTGAAACATAGTGTCCCGAAACATTGCATGAACTGTAAGGATTTTAATTATAAAGATTTTATATGTATTGGTATTGACGTGATCACCCCCCATTGGAGAGGTGGTGACATGGAGAAAATGTTGGCCATGAGAGAAACAGAATGGATTTACAAGTTTAAAACCTCTGTTCCCTCAGGTCTGAATACCGATTTAGACATTTTAGCTTTTATGGATTGATATCTATGTTCAGACTGATTTTTAGCATTTTCTTACTCTGTTTTAATCTCTTCTCTGATCTATTTTTATATTTATTTTTATATTTTGTAGTTTTGTTTTTTCCAGGACCTCCTCAAAGAAAAGAGAAAGAATGACTTAAATGTTTTTTCTATTGAATTCATATCTGCATATGTTCCTATTCTAGTACCTTGTGTAATGTAAATAAGAATACAGATATTCAACATGTTGATTGTGAACTGTATAAATGGATTTGTTTCACGCACATAACATGTACACATAAATTTTTTATTTTTATTTTTATTAGTCCTTTATTTTTATTAGTCCATTATTACACGTTTGTAAAAAGCTTTGTTTTTGAAAAAAAGCTTCTTTTAAAAAAAAAAAAAGTTTTATTTTTATTTTTATAATTCCTTTTTTCCCCTTTATTAATATTTGGTTGTTCTACATTTCCCTCTCTATGTTTACAAGAGAGGATCTTGTATTATTCAACTCAATTCATACAATTGTATTATCATCTTCTGTGTGAAGTGTTTAGTATATTGTAAGTACACAGCATCTGTTTTGTGCCATGCCGAGATTGCCGACACAAGAATGTTTGTGCGCAAATTGTCAATAAAGTTAGGTTGCGCTCCACGGTGGTTATGCGCATGCGCTGTATCAACGGACGTGCGTGGTGACGTATGACGCAACGTTCTGAGTGATCTGCGCATGCGCGGACACTGATTTGGGCGTGAAGACCGGCGAATTTAAAAGGAAAAAAGACGTCAGCACAAGACAGAAGCTCCTGAGGAAGTCGGATGCCCGATGAAATGCGTAGAGCCCAGCTGTACTTCGACCCCATATTTTGGGATCAGCAGCTTAAATTTGCCTTTATGCACTTTATTATTTTTGCACAATTTTATGCAATTTATTGTTAGAGGGTATCAACTACTGATTACTAATCTTTTGTTATGCTATTCAGTGGTGATTATGTTTAGAACTCTTAATTTGAAGGGATAGTGAATGTTAGTGCCTCAAGAGTCATTCTTCAATACTTCCTTAATTTGCATAGTGCACTTTATTGTCTGTTTAGCTGCTTACCAGAAGGGTCTTCTTAAGCCATTTGAGGCTATTTTATTGTTTGTTTTTTGTATATTTTTTCACTTATAGAATAAATTATTATCCTTTTATTATATAGAATTGTCTTCTGGCTATAATTGTCTAATTGAGAAGGCTCTGTGCAGGAGCCGCAATTGTGCTCATGCACACTCAATCACAGCTTTCCTATGTTTTCCATTGAGCTTTAGTTCAGCTAATTTAGAAAGGGAGAAGGCAGATGCATGCTAATATAGCCAGTCTGCTTCTTCTGTTAGCTCTGTGGAGCTAAAGGAAGTGGAAGAAAACCTACCTAGCTGTGTGACAGACAGGAAGGTGTCTTTGCCCCCAATTATATAATTATAATATATAAAATTTGAATGTTTGTCAAGAAAATGACAAACTTCAGACATATAAAGCACTTCAGCAAGCTGAAATACTTTGCGTGTGGAATATTCCACTTCCTTAGCAAACTAGTGTCTATACACTCACTCTCAACTTTTCCTCTGGTTTCTCCTTCATTTGTATTCTCCATCTTTGCTTTGTCAGTGTCCCTTACTCTCTCTCTCTCTCTCTATATATATATATATATAATGTGTGTATGGTGAATGCAAGGTGTGTGTGTGTATATGTATGTAGTGAATGAAACGCAGAGAGAGTGTTTGAGGAAAGTGAATGCAGTCTGTGTATAAAGTGGATGCAGTGTGTGTTTGTGTTGTTATCACAGTTCTCACCATGCCATCCAGACGGCCAGGCGTGGTCACCCCACAGGTGCCAGACAGGGACTTGAATCTGGGGCCTTCTGCATCCTAAGCCTGCGTTCCTGCCTCTGAGACACTTCTGAACTTTCTAGACTTGTTTATCCAGCACTGCCTGCAGTACTAGGGGTGCTGGACTTCACCAGTGGCTCCCACCTGTCTTTCAATCTAAGTCCACCTGAGGCAGATGGATCATTATCCAATGTATATAACACTGCCTCTCCCTGAGGGCAGTGTCAGTTTGTTGTTTCATTTTTCCTGTTCCTTAAGACTGACTTGGCTTGTGACCCCTGCTTCTGGATCTTTGTTATTGCCTGTTTACTGCATGCCGTGACCTTTGGAACCGTGTCTGACTACTCTTGTGGATTTGCCCTTGTCTGTTTCCTCGTACCCAGTTGCTGTTCCTGCCTAAGCCCCCGTGCATAGATTCACAGCCCGGGTAGCTTCTTATCTGGTTACCGTGGGCTGTGTTTATCTGCAAGGGTGAAAAAACATCTCTGCACTTCAGACTCCTAACAAGGTAAGCCGTGACAGTAGTGAATGCAGTGTGCAGGTTTTTTGTAGTGGATGCAGTGTGTGTGTGTGTGTGTGTGTGTGTTTGTGTGTAGTGAATACAGTTCACTACACATGTTTGTGTAGTGGATGCTGTCTGTATAGTGAATGTAGTGTGTGTTTGTGTAGTGTATGTTGGACAAGGGCTGTGAGGGGCTTCTTTTATTTTTACCTGGAACTCTGTATTCCTTGGTGGTCCGGTGGCTCAGCTGGTTGTACAGCAAAGAGGGGCCCTGCAGTGTCCATCTTACCCCTTCCTGGTTTACTGTGTCCTGCCCCCCCTCTCTGAAGCCAGTGGGGGCATATATATAATATACATTGGGTAACAAGGGCATAGGGCCAGGACAAACCGTGTATTACAAACGTGAGGAGTCCGGGCCTGATGGCGCTCTGCACAAACACATTGTCTAATAGAGACACACACACTGCCCAATACATACACACGCTGCCTAATTCAAACATACACACACTGTGTAATAGACATACACACACACACACACACACAGTGTAATAGACACATATACACACACACACAGCAAGCTCTCACACACTCAGGTGGCAGCTGGAGGCACTGGCAGCACCCCATCTAGTGAGTGTAATACCTCCTCTGCTGCCATGCATTTAGTTTCTGTATATGGCACAGGAACAGGACAAGGTGGCAGGAATGGATGATCTATCTAGGTCTGCCCCCTTCTTGAAAAGTCATGGCCCTGGATGCAGGGATTTGGGAGGAGTGGGAAAAGGCAGGATGGGGAAGGAGGAGCTAACATGTTTGGTTTGGGGAAAGGTGAGGTTAGATGCGGAGGGGCAGGGTTAAGCTTTTTTGGGCAGGCAATGGCGGGGTCATATCGCTAGAGAGAGGAAAGCATTATAGGCACTTGTGACGAAAGCACCTTCGTCACTGGGATTTGGAGAGGCCTACTTGCTATGGCCCTGTGGTGAACTTTGGGGCTAAAAAACCCTGTTCGTGCCTTTTTCCCTGCCATGGTGCATTATATGGGGCTTACCGAATGGATTAGGCTTAGGGTGTTCGTTTCCCGAACAAACTGTCGAACAGCCGGACCACCCGCAAGTGGAGTGTGCAGCCTGATAACCTCCTAGAAGCTGTGGTTAACCACAGCATAATTGATGAACGGCTGGGTGGTCGCCGTTCGTATAGTCGAACACGTGGCGGCGGCCATCTTGTTTAATTGAACGCGGTCAGCATGCAACATTGACTTTGTGCACGAACGTTCTCATTCTACTATTTGAAGTGCACTTTCATCATTGGAAATAGACCAGCCACACAGCCTAATTCTCTGGAACTATTTTGGGCATGCTTGTGGCCAGTCAAAAAGAGACTTCCATGAAACCTTTGAACCCCTGTTCTGATCTGGGTTACTTTTGGATATGTTGTTCCCCCAGATCAGGGCTATCTGGGGATGTTAATTTTGGAGTACTTTCTGAACTTTGAAAAAATTTGTTTTTTCTGCCTTGAGATAATTGAGTTACTTACAGGACTTTACTCGATTATCTCCCCAAGCAGAGGGGAGGGATTGTGTGCTGTACATGAGAGTGTCAAAGACTGTATGTTTGTTCTGATTGGTTTGTGTCCTTTGTGTTCCTGTGCCCCATCAGGTCTAGGGGGTGTTCCTCTGGCCTGAATAATTGTATAAAAGCCTGTCATGCCAAAAGCATGAGTTGGTGTTTCATGTATTGATATTTGTTAAGAGTTGTTTTGTTGGTAAACCTTGGGATGACGTTTATTGTGGTCTTTGATCTTGCACCAGGCCTAGACCATAAAACATCTAGATAGCCATCACCAGAGCTGGACACAAGGAATTTCATAGAGTGGGCAATAGACTGCCAGACCAATCCCCTCTGATCTCCCCCCAGGGGTCTGCCCACTGAGAAACAACTAGTTTAGATATATGAGGGTGTTGGACTATCCAGGGAGGTCAGTTATTCATTTTTCTTTTTGTCAGTAACTTCTAGGAGACCTATACCATCTAAGACTCCCACAAGAATTCTATATAGGGTAAATATATGTAAGGAATTTCTTGTGTTTTCTCCTATTTTATTTTATGTACTGTTTTGCAATTTGTTATCTGTATGTCATTTATTTCTGTATTTTGTACTCAGCACTGTGAATCCTTTTTGTCAGATTAAATGTTTACTTAATCAGCTTGTGTCTCTGTTCACTATGAGCTTCACTCTCCAGAGGAAAGCTCAGGTAAACACGTTACCAAAAAGGGTTAACTATATATGTTTTAGCAGTAAAAGTAGAACTGTGATACTATAATTCTCCTGTGTGTGGGGTAACCTAAGACGCCCGGGTTTAAAAGTCTTGGTGGTGGCAGTAGAGTAAAATGTACTAAGGGTGTTAGTGTAGAAGGGATTGCAGGGTTTAATTGAGTGGTTGCTGGGACTAGCAACAGGTAACCAGGGGTCTGGTGTCATTAACCCTGTCACTTCCACACTCTCCCCACTGTCTTGGCTGGGCCTATAGCCCACGCACGTGACAAAGCCAACCTGAACCATGAAAGCTCAGATCATCTTTCACCTTCATGAAGTCTTGGCTCATGTTTTGGGGATTGGAGGACATACACTCTGGGGGATTGCTATAATCACTATACTCCCCTGAGTATAATCACTAAGCTCTTGTAAGAGCTGTTCCTGCTACGCTCTCGGGACTAAGAGAGGCCTACCCACTGGAAGCTGGATCCTGGTCTTGGGTCCAGGGTGGGTGGAGGACGGCGAGACCCCAACCAAGCTGCGGCTGTTCGCGGGGTTTATGGTAGTTATGGTGCTCCAGTGCAGTGCTTATGGTACACGCCAGTACTAGGAAGCAGCAATTGACGGAAGTACCCGGTCGGGGTGCCAGGCGTTCTGTCACAGCACTGAATTACCAGGAGGAGGGCTGTGAGGGGAGGATGCTCCCAGCAGCTCTGTCATGGGGGAGGCGGCACACGCTTTGCATATTTCTATGGTGCCTTCATATTATTATTACAGCCCCTGCAGGTGCCCCCTGTTAAACAGCGCCCTAGGCCACTGCCTAACATGCCTAATGGAAGCGATGGCCCTGTGGCACAATATTGTGCAGTGAAAGACTGCAGAGATTGTTACACAACTGAACAAACAAGTAGAGGTCAACAGACTTCTTTTATCTTGGAATGCAAATAAAGAGATGATGACAGAAGTTATTTTCCCAATCAAAGGCACACAATTGTGGATTTATTAGAGCTTATGGATCTCAAAGAGGCCCATGCTATTGCTACACCCATGTGTACTAACATCCTCACAAAGTCTGATGAAATTGAAAATATACCAAACAACAATATGTATAGAATAAACATAGACAAGCTTTTGTACCTAGAGACAATTTACAGACCTCACATTACATCTGCAATGGGAATATTGTGCAGAAAACTGAGCTCTCAACAAGACTGTATTGCACTTACGTAGTCTCTAAGTTATTTCAAAGGATCTGCTCATCTTAAACTCAAGTTATTAGTTGTCAGAGACTCAAGATTAGTAGATATACAGGTGCAGATTGGGCAGGAGAAAAAAAAAACAGATCAGAAAAAGTGACCAAGTGTTCGGAATTGTCTTATTGTCACATCCTGTCCTGTTCTGCGGAGATGACTGGCCTTGGCTTCTGGGATCCAGTACTCTTTTTACAATTGTTGTT